AGCACTAAAACATAGAGTGAGTAAAAATTTCATGAGGGAATGAGTCATTCTGTCTATAGCAGAGTTCAAATGGGATCAGTAAATAAATCAGAGAGTCAAATGTGGAACAATAAGGGTGACATAACATACTGAATAGCAGCTTATTAGAAAGGCAGTGTCCATCCAGGAGCTAAAGAAGCCAAAACCCGTGTGAAAAAAGTGACGCCAGGTAATTAAAGAGCTGGGTTACTATGTCCATGCACAGGGGGAACAAATCTAAGGTTGCAAAATGGCACGCTTCAAGTTTGACTTTGCAATCTCTGTAATAGTCTCTTAACCTAAGATGTCTTTTTTTTCCCCTTTGGGTAAAAACAAGCTTAAAAACTTCCTCGTGGCCTCTATCTTATTAACACCTATGTGTCTGCAGATGAAGCAGGATCAAACAAAAGCATGTAACTTCCCCCTTGAGAGGACAGCTGGGGTTATCAAGCACCCGATGAGGCAGTATGAGACAAGAGCACCACACTTTGCCAGGTGACTCTGTGGAGGTTTGCAGAAAGCAGGGGAATGAGGAGATGGAGGGGATACGGGACCCCTCCCACCAGGATGTGGCCAGAGCAGCCTGGCCTTTCTATCCATTTCTTCCAGCTGTATCCCTTTCTGTTTGTCTTTGACCAAGGTCCTCTCTCAGACCTCTTTCTCCTGCCTCCCCTGTCGCTTCATCTGGCCAGCTTTTCCCTTCTGGCCTTGTGGGTCAAGTCCAGATCTCTGCCTTTGTGCTTGTGTCTGGTTTACACGCGCAGCTGTCCCCATCATCGTGTCTCCAGTCTCCACCTCTGCTCCAGCCTCTGCCCACCGCATCCAGCTCTGAGTCCTCCTCCCTGGCTCTATGGTTACTCTCTGGCCCTCCTTGATGAATAAAATACCAGCTCCAAGGGGTGAAGACCGGCAAAATTTTAAGCACACAAGATCTTTGCACCTGAGGTGTTCGAGGGTGCTCCCGTCTCTTCCTGTTGCCTCCAAATTGCCAAAGCTAAGGAGTGATGGGGAGGAGTAAAGAGCAGCCAGGTCAGTCTCCCTTCCTCACAACCTGGCTTGAGGGACAGACATTTCCTACTCACCAGACAAAACCAGACAAGCCCATGTGGCCGACATCACGCCGCGAGTGGTGCCTATAACAGCCTGGGGTCCCCTGTGCTGCCGGAGGGTGTCCCCTCCACTGCTTTGCCTGCCTGCCTGCGTCCTCCTCCTGCCCCGCGGGGTTCACCCAGGAGAGCTGGGGGTGGGGGCATGGCTGGGGGTGTCATAGACACCTCTGTTCCCACTATTCCTTCCTCCACTGCCCCCGCTTCCTCCCACCCACGCCTCCCTCCGCCTCCCCGCTGGGTTTGCGGTGCTGGGTTTGCGTCGGAGACGGCAGCGGTGGCCACCTGCCTGAGGCTGAGTTTGGACATGGCCCACCTCCTGCGGCAGCGGGGTCTGCCCTTCCTCCTCGCTGCGCCACCAGGTCCAAACTCGGAGAAAGCCCCCACGGAAGGTGTTTGGTTGCCCTAGGTTGACGTCCATGGCAGCTTTCTGTTCTCCATGCCTCCGCGAGGCTTGTGGTCTCAGCGGTGGCTCGCTCAGCCGCGTCCTTCATGGGGCAGCCCCTTTCGGGCCTGTCTGGGCATCGTCACAGGAGCTCGGTGCAGCCCGTCGCCTCCCCATGCTACAGGTCACCTCTCATTCCTCCTTCGGCCTCGTAAGGACCGGGTTACCTCATCAGCCAGGACGCTGCCTGGGGACTTGGCGTTGTCCAAACATGGCTGCTCTGGAGACTGGCGCTCTGTCCCTGTCTGGTGCTCGGTGGCGTTTCAGGTTTCCCATCTTGTTTAGGGACAGATCTTTACTACCCATTGCACAATGTGCTTTTCTGCCATGTCCCACAACCTGCCTGGCTCTGCACAACATCAGCTGTCTCCTGCCTCCGTTTTCCGCCTTCTGTAGGTGCTCACCCACCATTTTAGGGTGCGTGTTGACCATGTGCTTGCAGCAGCTCTCAAACCACGGGAGGAAGGGACTGAACCAGAAGGACATTTCTCTCCCAAAATCAGAATTTTTTTGGCTCACCTGCAGAGCGGCACTGCCTCATAGGTGGGTGGAGGATGTATGGGGAGGGAGACCTCAGCTTCTCTGCCTCTTACCTGGGATCAGAACCTGCTGCCAGGAGGCGTGGAAACACCCTCTCCCCAAGGGGTGATGCCCACCAAATCCACTGTGGAGGAGGCGGCACGGTGCAGGAAGGACGTGACTCCAGGCTGAGGCAGAGCCAACAAAATGTCAGCTCTCCATTTTATCAGGGGCCTTCTTTTGTCGCGGTGGCATTATGCAGGTGGGGAAATCTTCCCTCTGTCCTTGGGAGGGTCCGGCAACCGACGTCTATCGCAATACCCTCCTCTGGTACACCACTGAGCAGCCAGTTCAGTTTGTTTCTCATTTTGCAAGGAAAAGATGCTGGTTTACATCTCTTTTCTTATGAACACCCAGTCATGAGTAATGTTGCACTCGTTCCTAGTGGCACGGTGGGAGTCCACGTGACCAAAAGGGTGCAACACCATCGCAGAGCTGGCATTCACATGTGCAGTTTTTAAGCGTTTGCTTTCTGTAACCTGTACATTTCTAGGACGTCGCCGAGCCCTCAGCATCTTAAAATGCCTCTGTACAAATGCCACTGCACAAATGTAGTGCTAAAGCTAAATGGGTGACCTAATTTTCTATCCCACAATCCCCACTCCCACGCAGCATAGTTCTGCTCTGAAAAAGAGATCCTTGAGAAGTGGGATTGCATGTTGGCTGTCAAAACTGGCCAGACTAAATCATCTTGGTGTTCATGCATAAACAGGTGTGTGTGACTGTTTTTTGCTGCTCACTGCCAGCTCTGTAAACTCCATCTGGAATGAGGCAGCCAAATTGCCATTTTTCTGGAGCACAGGACAGGAAATTCTGCCTTCAGGCTGCTCCTGTCAATAATGTGTGAGCAGACCAAAAATCTCTTCTCTCGCCCAGACCTGTGTGTGCCTGGCTGAGTCACTGAGAGCAACCAAGCAAAATACTCCTTTGGTAAAGGCAATAAACAGGACTCCAGACAGGTGCAGAAAGCATCCCAGTTGTGAAGGCGGCATTTTTCCTCCACCTGCAGAACAGAACTGCATTAACTACATTATGTTCTCATTTAGTTCACTAGGGAGAAAGGTGATGGAGAGAAAATGGTTTGAGGAATCGATATATTCTTATACAAAACTCAGTAGGAGGCATTTTTGGTCTGAAAGGGCAGCAGGAGGAACATCCAGACACTCATGACAAGGCAGCAAGCTGCCAGGCAGCTCTCCGCAGCGTGTGTAGTTGACCCCGTCTTTGCTATGTGAGCTGGCCCTGGTTATTGGACCCGAACGGTGGTGTCACGGTGTGCGTGGCAAAACAGGCGGTGACGCTGACTCACGCTCCTGGATGTCATTTTTCTCTGGTTGCTTTTGTCTTCTAAATACTTATTCTCCTGTAATCTCACTCTACAGCACTGCTACTATGACGGGTATTTATTACATCTGTTTTCTTTCCTCTGATCAGGATCTGCAGTCCGTGACTTGGCTTTAACCTCCTGGATGGAGTGAAGAGAAAGAGCTTTGTGGCCAGCAGCAGCTAAACACTGAAGACGGTAGAGAGATTGCTCACAAGGTGGGAAATTGAATAGAGTGTGTCTGGGAAAGGAAGAAAAGAGCTGAATGCTGAAAATTTGGCATGTACTGTGCTGCACAGTCCGCACTCATCCTGCCTCTTCTGCTCCCATACTATGTAGATTCTGCTTTCAGGAAGACTCATAGGCAGGGTACAATAAAGATGAAACACACTTCTGGGGAATCTAATACCCTTTCAAAAACAGCCTATCCAAAATTAAATAAAATCCTGTGTATTTTTCAGCAAAGACTATACTCAGAATGTTAGAAGGCCAGAATGTGGCTTTTTCTTCCTTTCATGCTGACAGTATTTTTAATGTTTTATCGGTCATTTTGCTGCCTCAGTGTGCATGCCTTGGGCCAGTGCTATAGCTTTGTTTGTATTACAAATGTTTCTCCGCCCTGAGTGTTGTAAACAAAACTTTGGAAATCAGTATAAACAGTGTGGTGTTGTTTTCCAAAATCAGCAGATCACCCAAAACAAAACCTGAGGGGTTTATCCTGCTGCATTCATCTCATATTTGGACCTCCCACAAGTAAGAGGACGATGTTAGCTCTGTAAGCAGAGCCATCCAGGTAATTGGCTTACCTCACATGCCAGAATCCATTTCTGAGGTGTGTTCTCCATATGACTATAAGTAATAAAAAAACAGGACCCTCTAACTAAATGTTTCAGTCTAAATGTTAATTTCCATGCTTGATTAATAAAACAGTTTATCGTTCCACTCGCCTGTCTGTTCTGTAGACAATATCTAGATACAATTTGCTGCAGAATATGTAGGGCTTTCTTTTTAAGGAAAAGGGCTATGACTGGAAAGAAGAAAGCAAATAGTCTGCTTGGCAGGGTGGATGTTCCTGTGGTGTTGGCTGTTTCCTTCCTTGATTAAGCATGGGAATGCTGGAAGAAGAGCAGTGATTCATGGGCAATGGGAGAAGTAGCTATGGTGGGGGTTGTTGAGGAGAGCAGTGATGATGTTCCTCTAACCTTGCTGGACATGGGAACTTTGAGGACAAACTAGTGACAGGTTTTGTCCTTTAGGGCGGTAACGTTATGACAGAGGACCCTCTTTCCAATCTGTGCCACAGTGGCCGCCCATCCTTGGGTCACACTCCCTTCCCGTGCTCCTTGGTCTCCGTGCCTTCACTCTGCCCAGAGAAGATACCAAGGGGCTGGCTCCTGCACTGTTAGCTAATGGTGGCTAACATGCAGCAGGTCTCTGCGGTTGCCCTGTTTGGACTTCTCCCTCAGAGAAGTGGGGTGGGGGTTATTTATTGCTAGTTCCTCTGTTCACTCCAGCAGGTGACAGGACCATGGGTGACACACAGAAGGGCAAGCTTCATCAGGAGAGTCCTGTGAGAGCTGAACTGCATCTGTTCCCCTTCAGAAAGCTGAAGAGATATACCCTCCAGGATGCCGATCAAAGACAGGACCACAAGCAGGACCTGGAGACAGAAAATGAGGTGGAGACGTCTTTTGGAAAGAGACCGGGAATGGTAACTCCCTGTGGGATGGAAGTCTGGGAGTGTGAGAACAGTGGTGGAGCCCACATCAGCAAGGTTATTCTTGCTGGGGACAAGCCAGACCCACTCATGTGTGGGAATGGTGCCATTTGGATTCAGGAGGTGCGAGAGAAAACCTACAAGTGTCCCGAGTGTGGGAAGAGCTTCAGCCGGAGCTCATACCTGAGCCAGCACCAGAGGATCCACCTGGCAGAGAAACCCTTCAGCTGCTCCGAATGTGGGAAGAGTTTCACCCGCAACTCAGACCTGATCAAACACCAGCGGATCCACACCGGTGAGAAGCCCTATCAGTGCAACGAGTGTGAGAAGACCTTCAGCCAGAGGTCCAATGTGATCAGGCACCAGCGGACGCACACGGGAGAGAGACACTACCAGTGCAACGAATGCGGGAAGAGCTTCAGCCAGAACTCGCATCTCATTGTCCACCAGCGAAGCCATAAGGGTGAGAAACCCTTTAACTGTCTGCGGTGTGAGAAAAGCTTCAGCGACCGTTCCTCCCTGATCATACACCGGAGAGTCCACACCGGAGAGAAGCCCCACAAGTGCCAGGAGTGCGGGAAGCGTTTCCGGGACAGCTCAGCCATCATTCGACATCAGAGGATTCACACGGGAGAGAAACCGTACAAGTGCACCGAGTGTGGGAAAACCTTCCGGCAGAGCTCCTCGCTGGTGACCCACATGCGAACACACACAGGTGAGAAGCCCTACAAGTGCCCTGTGTGCGGGAAGGGCTTTAGCCAGAGCTCGGCGCTCACCACTCATCGACGGATCCACGGGGCGAAGGCCTTGCCCATGTACCATGCTGGCCTCCTGCCCAGCCCCTACCAGTGCGCTGAGTGTGGTCGGAGGTGCAGCGACCGCTCCACTCTGGCCAAGCACCAGACCACGCACACCGAGGAACGGCCGTACATCTGCATGGAGTGCGGGGACAGCTTCCGTCGGAGCTCGGCTCTCAATGTGCACCTGAGGATCCACCGCGGGGAGAGACCCTACAAGTGCGAGGAGTGCGGAAAAACATTCAGGCACAGCTCAGCCCTTGGTGCCCACCTGAGGATCCATGCAGGAACAAAGCCCTACAAGTGTGGCGAGTGTGGGAAAAGTTTCCGGAAAAGCTCGACGCTTAAAGTGCATTTGAAAATCCACATAGCCAAGAAACCTTATAAATGTACGGTAGGCAGGAGAATGCTCACTTCCCGCTCACTTCTGCCATAGGGCTGGAGTGGGTGTTTGGAGCAGGAAACAAAAGCAGTGTTTGGGGGCACCTGAAAAAGGTGGGTGATGAGAACCATGGTGGGAAGAGACTGGAGATGCGGTAACTCTGGTGTCAGGGCTGGGTGCTTAACCCCGGTGGCACAAAAACCATTAGGAGGTCTGGAAGGAGGGAGTTGGTTCTAAGAGCCGAGCACTGGTGGTTTAGGAAGAGTGCCGAGAGCCTGAGGAACGGGCACCAGCTTATGGGTAAATCCGGGACTGTGAATACATGGTAGAGTAACAACTGGGAGAATCAGGCTTGTAAAATAACTTTTCAACTAAAGTGAAGATCAAAATAAAAAGTTCCAGATTGGTTCTGACTCAAAATTTGGGCTTGTTAGACACTGTAGTAGTCTTAGGAACTCTCTTTTTTGTTACCTTCCCTTATTTTTCACGAATGTAGTAAGTTTACCCAGTGTTTGACAAGGTGCTTCCAAATCTTTTGAGTCTAAGACTTAGGTGCTGAGCTTCAATCTATTTGTCTTTTCTTCCTCTTTTCCAAATCTTACATGGGACAATGAATTTCTACCTCCGCACGCAAAGCCTGAGTGACATGATAGCTGAGTAATGCAAAACTGTCATGGCTGTTCCCAGAAAACATGGATGTGCAAGCATTTCCAGTTGGAACACCGCCCATTACTAGTCTGTGGCAGTTTCTCCCAAATTTGCCCTTGCTGGTTCGATACACCGCCCAACACAGGACATCAACAAAACATGGGCAAAAATGTGGCCTTACCTTATTTAACCAAAAAAAATATTCCCTCCCCTCCCCCAAGTACCAAGTACCAAGATGTACTAGAATTGGTACACGATGAGTTCCTACTGGTAGTCCAGAGACTGTTTGCAATTCTGTAGTCCTTTTTATGATAGAGTACTCTTCTTTAGCTCACTATTGTTGTAAAGTATTAACATATACAGTTCAGTGTTGGCAGTTAGGAATTAATATATTTGTATTTATTACTATGCTAATGACTGTGTATTACACAAACCTCCTCTACATTGCTCTGTTTTATTACTAGCTGCATGTTTCCATCCTAAATAAAGCCTTTTTTTCCCCTCTGTATAACCCAGTTTTCTGTCCTTGCGTATGACGGGAATGAAGTTGAGACCTCACCTGGAGTACTGCGTCCAGCTCTGGGGCCCTCAGCACAAGGACATGGACCTGTTGGAGCAGGTCAAGAGGAGGGCCACAAAAGTGATCCGAGGGCTGGAGCACCTCTCCTACGAGGACAGGCTGAGAGAGTTGGGGTTGTTCAGCCTGGAGAAGAGAAGGCTGCGAGGAGACCTTATTGCAGCCTTTCAGTACTTAAAGGGGGCCTATAGGAAGGATGGGGACAATCTTTTTAGCAAGGCCTGTTGTGACAGGACAAGGAGTAATCGTTTTAAACTAAAGGAGAATAGATTTAGGCTGGATATAAGGAAGAAATTTTTTACAATGAGGGTGGTGAAGCACTGGCACAGGTTGCCCAGAGAGGTGGTAGAGGCCCCATCCCTGGCAACATTCCAGGTCAGGTTGGACGGGGCTCTGAGCAACCTGATCTGGTTAAAGCTGTCCCTGCTCCCTGCAGGGGGGTTGGGCTAGATGGCCTCTAAAAGCCCCTTACAACCCAAAGCATTCTGCGATTCTGTGAAATTGTAAACGGGGGTCGGCCGTGCTCTGAGTTTGGTGTGGCGAAGCTTGTCCCCGGGCAGCCCTGGCCTCTCCCAAGCCCCTGCCTGACGCCCAGGCCTGCAGGCGTCCACCGCAGGGCGCCCGGCCGGGCCCCGGGGGAGGTGCGGGCCTT